CCAGGAAAATAGTTACTAAATAAGAAAAAGAAACAGAATGTGAGAGAGGAGTTTAAAAGGAGGAGTTAGTAAGAAAATTAAGTTCAGGGTGGTTTTTTAAAAATGTAGTCAGACATTCCCTGAGGACTCCCAGACTATGAAAGGGCGCAGGCTTGGCTGAGGCTCCCCCCCATTCTCCCCCCCCCCCCCCCGCTGCCCAAATTTCATGCACCAGGCCTCTAGTTAATACATAATAAATAATGAACATGTTAGTAAATATGGCATGTTACCATCACTTCCAGCACCTATTCACACTGTTAATGGCTCGCCATATCACAGTACCATCCAGTGCATGTGAGGGCTTGCTCATGCCAGGCACCAGGCAAAGCACTTTCTTTACCCAGATCATGCCCAAGAACGCCCACAGTAGCCCTAGGAAGTAGATAGGATTTATGATCCCCCACCTTTTAGAGATAAAAAGAAAACCAAACAAAAAGTCCAAGCATCACCTGCCCAAAGTGATCCTGGAAACATGCCAGACCCTGCAAGATTGCTTCATAAAAGGCCCTCAAGTGCAGAACATTCATCCCCTTGCCACTGAGCCTGAGATCACTTGTTACCAACTCTCGCTATCTTGAGAAAACTCATAAAGAATTGCTCCCCTGACCGGTTTGGCTCAGTGGATAGAGCGTCAGCCTTCGGACTTAAGGGTCCCAGGTTCCATTCCAGAAAAGGACATGTACGTTGGTTACGGGCACATCCCCAGTAGGGTGTGTGCAGGAGGCAGCTGATTGATGTTTCTCTCTCATCGATGCTTCTTTCTGGCCCTCTCCCTTCCTCTCTGTAAAAAAAATTAATAGAATAATAATAATAATAATAAAAAGAACTGCCCCCATAGAACAGGCCTCCCCTAGTCTGCCCCACAAGCAGGTTAGGACCAAGGCCCCTCACCTGGAAGGCTCGTCCATCTCCTCTCTTGGAGTTTCGAGGCCGGGGCTGTTTATTTTGCTTCATCCTGTCCTGGCATTTGGTGCAGCACTATACACAAGATGGCTTAACAGGGCACTAAGGTCCCTGGGGTCTCAGTACCTCAGAGGGGAGTGCCAACCAGCTCACTAATTGCCAACTGTCTCACCATAGCAACTCACACCTGGGAGAGGGACAGAGTTTCAAGCCCAGCAGCATTTAAAAACAATATTTGGTTTCTCATTCTCCACTCCAAACCTGAGCCGTATCATTTAGAAACTCTAATCTGAAGGCGCGCACTACAATCATGGAGGTGGCTAGGATTATAATCTATCTTATATGTGAAGTACAGAGGCTCAGAGATACTATGTCTAAATAATGCTTAACTGATACACTACATGGGCATCACCCATTTACACATCTTTCTCCCTCAAATCTTTGTAGACTCCTTTCCCCTGACTAGGCTAGAGGTAGTGATATTACCGAAAGGGGCCCTGGCCCTTAGGGTCTGCCTAGGGCTGGCCATTGGTGTGTGGGTTCTCGAATTCATGCAGGAAATATATCACAACAAAAATCTAAGTTTTTTTAAATATATTTGTATTGATTTCAGAGAATAAGGGAGAGGGAGATGGAAACCTCAATGATGAGAACCATTGATCGGCTGCCATCCCCCACTGGGGATCTAGCCTGCAACCTGGGAATGTGCCCTTTTCTGGAATACAATCCAGGTGAGAGCCTTCAGTCCACAGGCCGATGTTCTATCCACTGAGCCAAACCAGGTAGAAAAAGTCTTAGTGATTATGAGGGTAGACTTATTAAAAGGTGGGGACAGTGAAACAAGGAAGGCTTAGCATAGAACAGAAGAGCCTACGCTGGGCTGCTTTGGTTCTCTAAATTATAGGAAAGAAATGAGCTGAGGCAGGGCTGCTTTAGCTCACTGGGAAGTCAGAGGAAAGGGGGTTATGGAGACTGATGTAGGGGGTTAGCCGCTGCCCATTACTCCCCTGGGGTTCCTTAAGAGTTTAGAAGATGCATGCCTGAGGGGTAAGAGGAAGCTTTAGCTCACCTGGGACCTTCATTTTGAGGGTTTTTAAAGGCTGGGAGTTTTGGGGAGGTCTTAGGGAAGCTTAGCTTCTATGCTAAGCTCTTTCATATTCCCAATAGAATATTCATGGCTTATGCTGATATGCTTTAATGAGATTTATTCCCTTCATCTGTCCTTGGCTGTGGTTGGCACAAATGCTCGATTATTTCTGTTATCTCTGAGTATTGTGACTTACGCTATTTACAGATTGGGGAGAAGTATATAAACCATTTACATTTTTAAAATTTACATTTAAAAAAATTTATTTATGCCCTCACTTGTCTGGCTCAGTGGATAGTGTCAGTCTGCAATCTGCAGATTAAAGGGTCCCAGGTTCAATTCTGGCCAACGGCATATGCCTAGGTTGCAGGCTCGATCTTCCCTAGTAGAGGGTGTGCAGGAGACAGCTAATCAATGATTCTCTCATCATTGATGTTTCTCTCTCCCTTCCTCTCTGAAATCAATAAAAATATTTTCTAGCCGAGACCAGTTTGGCTCAGTGGATAAAGCGTCGGCTTCGGGACTGAAAGGTCCCAGGTTCCATTCTGGTCAAGGGCATGTGCCTTGGTTGCAGGCATATCCCCAGTGGGGGGTATGCAGGAGGCAGCTGATTGATGACTCTCATTGATGTTTCTAGCTCTCTATCCCTCTCCCTTCCTCTCTGTACAAAATCAATAAAATATATATTTTTTAAAATATTTTCTAAAAAAAAAGCTTCCAAAAAATTTACTTTTAGAAGGAAAAAAACGGATTTTTTTCCTTCACTTATCCATTCATCAGTTGATTCTTGCATGTGTCCTCACCAGGAATTGCACCAACAACCTTAGTGTATCAGTACAATTCTCTAACCAATTAATTAAACCCATCTGGCCAGGGATTAAGCCATTGTATTCTTGGTTTAAGGAAGATAGGATTTACTGGATGGATGCAAACTGTCTGGTCATTGAACCGTCTTCCACTTACCAAGGAATTTTCCTAGCTTCTAACTATGCTATCTCAGTGAGACACCAGGATTATGACATACTCTGGTCTTGGGACACCTGGCTTAGTGGCTGAAGACAGAACTACCGAAGGGAGTTGCGATGTTAAACTTAGAAGAGCAACAGGCACATGCTCCTCCCAAAAAGCTAAACCATGGGCAGCTATGTTAGAATCATGGGGCCATCCCAACCAGTCCTTTCCCTGGGCCACGTCCCCCCATGAATGTGGCCAAACTGTAACATGACAACATGGGAGCAGTGGAAACAGGTGCTAAAGTAGCATAAAGACCTGGGATACAACAAGCCTTTAAGATTCCAGTCACTTATGTTTGAAGCCAAGATTTAGAAACCCATTTACTAGCCCAGTGTGGTCTCTGACCCAGAGGCATGGAATTCTGTCTCCACTGTACACATTCAATGATTCGAAAAGATGGGTCCCAAAAATCTCTTGAATAAGCCTGCCTGTCGGGGACTACACTGGAGCTTGGAGACCAGGGCCCTAGGGCTCGCCTGCTTAGGCACCAAGGTAGTCACCGTGCTCTGGATGACTGACCTACTTCAGCAGCCCACCATCCCCACCCATCTGACCAGCAAAAAAAACACAAAGGACACTAGACCGTTATAGAGAAATACTGATTTTAATCCAACATAAGGTAAACAATAGGCATCCCTTATCTTTCAGCCTAAAAATTAACAAAAAACTGTTGAAACAAGGCACAATTTACCCCCATCCTTGTTATGTGACTCCAGTCACACACAAAAAAATTTCTATGAAAATGGTAAAACAAAAATAGAAGTCTGAGTTTTAAAAAATGTATTTAAAAAAACGCCCACAAAACCTGTCAATATTATTCCTTATTCTACAAAATAGCACCAGTAAGAAGAGTAAAAGGTGTTAAAAACCATTACAACAGCATTTCTGAAATGCAGCTTGCCCACCTCATGTTATCCCTACAAAAGAATTATCATGGAATAAAAAAGGACTTTAAAAAATCTCTGGAAGGAGGGTCACGCTTTTATTCAGTTTCCCCCTGCAATCTCTTAGATGCGAGGAATGTGCTTCTGCCCCTGGCTATCGCTGCTTCTGTTCTGAGAAAGACCAAGGAGCTAGGGTCATACTTCCAGTCTGGGGGACTTGTATCTGTGAAGTCAGGAAGGTGCATTCGTGTGTGTGTTTGTGTGGGGTGGGCAAGTCCTTACCCAAGCATCCTTTCACTCCTCACATGGGAGATAGTGAGAGGCCATACCTACCTTCATAATATGACCCAGCCACTCCTTCCTTCCTGAACTGCCTAAAGGGTTCTATTGCAGTCACTGCAAGGGATGTAGCTAAAGGTGACCCTTCCTTCCTTGTGTCTAGAGGGGAAAATAGCCCTGAAATTATCACCAGTGTGGACAATACTCTCAATGGGCCCCAACAGTGCATCCCAGCCCTTTATACTAAGGTGAGGGGAACATGCTGGATAAAATTCAAGAATGGCAGATATCATTTCCAAATCTGCCCTAGGAAAAAAGCATCCTGGTCCCTTAAAATGGCCCTCAGCTACAACATGTCTACCACTGTACACTCCTGGAAACAATCTGCTGCAGACGCTTAAAAAATAAAAGTATTGCAGTCACTGTCTCGGTTAACTTTTCAGCCTTAACCTGAGTGTGGGAGAGCAGTCAGCACTGTGGTTTTGGTATATTAGCTATTGTTTCTGAGCGGTAAACCCAGGAGGAGGGAAAAAAAAAAAAAGCAATCTTTACTAACTACTTCAAGTTTCAAAGACAAGATGAGCACCGTGTTTGGCCATTCCAAGAGGGCCAAGTTGAATTGTGCGCAAGGAGGTGGTACCCGGGCACCCGCTGCCAGGAGGGTGTCGGGTGGCTGGGGCCCAAGATCCATGCTGTGGCCCCAACACAATTGAGCTAAAGGACAGAGCCTGGGATGAACCTCCTGGGCCCCAGCTCTGTCCCACGCACCCCAGCGCCCCAGAGTGGCTGGGGGACTATTCACAGGCAAAGTAGTCCTTCAGGGGGGCGAAGAGGTGGCGGATGACAGGCACGCTCCAGGACCTCCCGAGCAGCTTCTGGCGGGCAACACGGCCCATGTTGGACACATCCGTGTAGTGTACAGGAAAGCCGAAGATCCTGGGGGCACCAGAGTAAAAAAGACAGGAGTCACACCTCCCACCTGCAACTACTTAGTGCCCATGGGAGAGCCTCTCACCATGGCCAAGAAGGCACCAGGCGCCACTCTCTGTGCTTTGTCCGGGCTCACTCTATGAGTCCTCTTATTTTAGAAAAGACACTATTTTATTCTTTTTACTTTTTCATTTTTATTAGATTTTTAAAAAATATACCTTTGTCCACTTTACTCATGTGCACATGAGCATCTCTTGACCCCCAAAGGTCAGGTGCAGGGCTCTTTCAGAACACAAATGTTAAGTCATGAGGGGCATGGCACCTCCAGGAGGGTACCTGCTATGTGCATCCCATCATCTCCCCATAACAGGTAACAACCAAATATACCAAAAGCCTCCCTTATGGGATTTTATCAGGCCTGGTAAGGAGGACCTTATTCTTATCCAGATTTACCTTCTTACCACTAAAATTCTCATCAATGGGCCAATGTTGAATGGGTATCAAAAGAAATGTATTTGCAGGTCCAGAGGCTTCTGTCTTAATTTGTCTACATAATGGAGAGCCATCTGCACCAATTCTCATATCACAGGTCTGGCCCGAACATGTTAGGCTTGGGCCTTAAAATATAATAGAGCTATGAATAATACAGGGGAGGTTAGGGATGCTGATGTCCCATCTCCATGCAGTTGAAAATCCAAATATAACTTTGAGTCTCCCAAAATATAATTACTGGGTAGGTCAGTGTGTTGTCCAGAACCCTTACTGATAACATGATCAGTCAATTTTATGTATATATTTTATAGTAGAAAGTGATAAAATAACACAAGTACCTACATATTTTATTCATTTTTGGCATACCTTTTTTTTATTTTTAAAGTATTTCTAGATTACATGATTCATCTGTGATTTTTTTGTCACAAATTTCTGAAAATGTTCCAATGCTTATTAAAAATAATCTGCATATAAATGGACCCACGAAGTTCAAACTTATGTTGTTCAAGGATCAACTGTAGAGAGTAATCCATAGGACCCGATTGTTTCTACTAATGAGAACTTTTGTACTAAGAACACTACTGTTTAGTTAAGAATAAAAGTGGTTGTAGAACTGAAATATCGGGAATGAAAATACTGCCTATCAAATTCAAGACAAAGCCAAAAATGTAGAGGGACCATCTATAGCCCTTCTTATATCTTTAACAGATATATTCTAACAAAAATAAGATAATAAACAAGAAAAACCAAAGGAATGAGAAAAACAAATTGAAATCAGAATAGGAGAACTGAAACTTAGAAGTTGGTTCTTTGAATCAAAATAGATAAGCTACCAAACTTAGCCAAACACAGATTTGTGGCTCCGTGGGAATCAGCTATAGAAGAGCAACTTGGCAGAAGGAAGATTTCTGAGAAAGAGCAATGGCATGTTGGTGGGGTTTTCTTTAGCTGGCTCCTTACATCCTAGTGTCCCAGCATGTTGAGGCAGGCAGATACATACTGTGCTGTCTAATGACCTCATGTTTCAGATTCCTCCTCACCACCACCCTTCCGCCACTTATGGCAGGAAATAAGGACTAACTCTGAAAAGGTATTCCTCCCAGCCCCGCTAACATGGAAGGCCAGTGGGTCCATGTAGCATGAAGGCAAGCAAGGCTAATCTGTGTTGCTGGCCTTGACCATATTTCTTCCCCTTCCTCTTTGCCTGCATCATTCCCTTTCCACATGCAGCCTCGCTCACCTTTCTAGCTCAGTGCACCACAAAACATCTTCTTTGCCATTCATGACAACAGGGAAAAGTTGGTTTTTCCCCTGTCTGATTGAGTTCGACTTGGTGGTTATTGTCTGTACCTTCTTTAACTGGAGAACAAAATGACATCATGCAGTGAGCACGGAATGAAGGATTCTGGGGATGAATCAAGACTCAAAAGCACCGAGGGAAGACGGGGAATGGAGGCAGGTGGGAGAAGGTGGCAGGGCTGGGCTCGCAGAGAGAATAAGAAAAGGAGAGTTGGAAGGACAAGAACATTTTGTGCTTCCCACAAGCGCCAAGAAGTTAATGCACAGAAAGGATCAGCCTCAGAACCAGAGATAAAAATGTGCCCGTGAATGAGATCACATGGGTGCCAAGAGAACACAACTGATCAAGCAAATTAAGTGAAATGTAACAGTCCACCCAAGGTTATAGGGAATGGTCAGCCAAACCAGGATTTTGGCTTGATGTAAACATTAAGAATTAAGTTTGTGGACATCTTAATTATCTATGACTTGACAGCAGATAATTTTTCCTTTGGGCAAAGTATTAATTACTCACTTCTTGGGAGGACCAGCTAAAATTATGTGTGTGTCTCTATGGCATGTGCATTCAAAATTAGACTAGTTGCCATTTCTCATATAGTGATTATTGTTTATCAAGTACCTCTCCTACTCTGTTCTGAACAGGTAGGACAGAAGAATTATTTGGGGAAAGAGACCCAGCACCAAGGAGTTACACATGAGGGAGAGGAGGCAGGAACAAACAGTACCAAGATCTAGTCCCGCTTGGAGGTCACCAAGTGCATTTTCCGCAGACTGTTTGTGAGCACCTCTTACCTTTGCTGTCCTATTGAACTCCAAGCAGTCCTGCAGCTCGAGTTTATCATTCTTTGATGCTATCACAGGCCTGGGAACAGCCAAAACCCATTACTTTCTAACATCTGCCAAGGGGCCTTAGCTAGGCACCTCCCAAGGTGGGAGTGAGAGCCTAAGCCTGCAAAATGTGCTCTGACAGTGAACTGTTACAAATAAATGAATTAGTATATGGTGAAAAAGATCCTGGCATAAGCACAAAGCTGAGTGGCAAAGACAGAGACAGACTAGTTAAGCCCCTTCTTAAGGGGCAAGATCAGTGTCGAGGAATAAGTGATCCTCTACCTCATATTTTAATATTAGTCAAATTAGGCTCCCACTGAATAGAGCAGGAATGGGGAAGCACACTGGAGTCAGGAAACCCTGTCCGATCCCATCCCGATTACGAACCGAGTGATGATCTGAGCAGTTAAACAGGACCTAGTGTCTCAGGAGCTTGAATTAGATCTTTGTGAGTCTACATGCTACAAAGAGCATTGCAAAGCCATGATTTGGTGGCTTACTAGGAATGCAGCCACGGGAGGGTCTCAGGACTAAAAGTGGATGCAGGTAGGAAGGACAGGAGATGTTTCAAAAAACACTAATTATCCTTGTACCTTTCACCATCAAACAAACCTGCAAATGCAGAGAAAGGCAAATGGGTGCCCAGAGGGGGATAGAGCTTTAGAACTAAAGGGTTGAGCAGTTCAAGAGCAGAAACCATGAAGAGCTCTGTATCCACACTTGATCAAAACCTCGGCAGCTCCCATGTAAGGAACTTCAAGGTCACAAACAAAACAGACATAAGAATGGAAACAAGTGCCCACAAGAGAGGCCATTGAATCATACAAAACATTCCCTTAAGATTCATCAATCTTCCTTGATCTTACCTTTCACATTTCCAATGCCACTCTATTCCCATTCCCTGCTTTTCTTATAATCTAAGGGGGCTGAGGGACTTGGAGAAAATGACAGAACACATCTAAGGTTTTCCACCTCCAGGCTGGATTTGGCTCTGTGACCCCTGGTTTGTGCTCGAGTCATTATTCTAGAACCCTATCGCGTCGGCTATAGTACTAAAGCTTAATTCTTATCACAGCTCAAACAGCATCTTTGCTGACTCTGATTACTGTCTTTTATTCCAGCACATCCAGTGCCTCAGCAAATCCTGCAAGTCCAACACTCACATTATCTAGAATCTGATCCCTCCTGCTAGTTTCACAGCACTGGAGGGAAATACAATGCCTCGAGGTGCAATGTGTGTATGAATGGCACTTCCTGGGCCATCAACAATTAGACTCCTCCTCTAAAGGACCATGACCATCTCAAGTTTCTCTTCATTTCTGCCCTCATCCCACTATCAACTATTTTATCAGAAACTACCATGAATCTAGGACACAACTCCTCAGCTTAAAACTTCTTAGAATTCCAAAAGTAGATCTAAGTGGACCCACAGACCCCACATAATTTGGCCCATACTAATGAGCTCGGTCCTCCTCTCACAGCCCTTCACAAATGAGGAACACAATGCCCTGCAACCCCACCCCTTACCTCTTCCTTTTGCCAGAATGTCCTCTCAAATGACTATGGCTCCATTCCTACGGTAAGTCCTTGCTGGAATGAGAAGCCTTCCCATCAACTCTTCCAGTGCCCTGCCTCCTCCAGCCATTACCCTGAAATCTTTCTCTACCCATCCCCCACTAGCATGTTAACTCAGAAAGAAGACTTACATCTGATGTGTTCACCAGTAAACCAACAGTTATGTACAACAGTGACTGCTACAGGAGAGAGTTCAGTGAATGAGCCCACTTCACTCCAAATGCAGCTGGCATTCCACTATCCGATTGAGTGACAACCAAATAAAACTGCAAGATACCTGGCCATTGTGGCTTAGTGGTTGAACACTGGCCCACGTACCAGGTTGGGCACATGCCTGGGTTTTGGGCTCCATCTCCTGTGGGGAGGATGGATGTTTCTCTCTAAAATATATTTTAATTTTTTTTTTTTTAAATGCCAAGATGTCCAAGGAGAAATCCTCCAACCTATACCAGTACCTTCTCACCTCTGTCTACATTTTGCTAAATGGCCAGTTATTAATGCTTCCAACACTTACTTCTAAAGAAGAATCTTTATAAGCTTAAAACTTATTTGCCAGTCCAGGAAATCAAATTACCATCATGATTTTGTATCTTAATTAGAAGACCACACAGCCCTGAAACCACATATAGAATATAATTAATCATCAGTTATATGAATGGACTAATAAAAAACTGGGAAAAGTTCTTGGCTAAAATTCATCTCAGCTTTGCTACCTACTCGGTCATATCAGGGAGAAAGGCATGTCTTACACCCTCATCCCTTTCCCAGTTGGACAGGCAACAAGAGAAGAGGTAGGGTATAAAACATGAGCATCTCCAGAGGGGAGAAGATGCCTGTCTGCTCCAGCACATGGCACTGTAAGAACCAGGCCCCTGGGCAGAACAGGAAACAAGTTGGAGCAGACTGAGGAATCTTGGCCCGAGACTTCCTGGAAGCTGTATATCTTAACAGATGTCAATCTATAACACCAGAGATTGGTCAGAAGCCCAGGGTGGCTCTGTCATACGTGAGTAAACCAGTCAGACAGAGCTCACACCATTAGATGCATTTCACTTAGCAGTTATCTATCCCACACAGAGCCCTGTGTTACCTGTTCATCCCGGGCAGGTTGCCCCAGAAGTATCGGGCCCTGTGAGCAGCAGACACTTTGATGGCATCAATCATCACTGGATTACACTGTAGGGAGACAGAAGAACAACTAGCTGCTAGGAGCCCACAGCAGAATCCAGGAAGCAACCAAAGTGGGACATGTGACAGGGCTGCTCCTTGGCTATCAAGGACACAAAATTCCTGTCAGCCAAGGGACAGACCAACTCTCAGCAAGAATCTGGCTGGAGGCATAGCTAGTGCCCCATATATAAATGGTAGGAAAAAAGACCAGATCAGACCTGAAAGTTCTGAGAAGGTATGGGCTGGGGCGCAACTGATTATTATGATGCACAGGTTACAAAAACAGCTCAAAACAAAAACCTGGCAAATCAAGGCCCCCGTGTGGGAATGCAGAGTTGGCAACATGATGTTCCATGACACACAACTGTCAGGTTCACACAGCATGAGAGAACTAACTAGCCAGTTCTACAATTGTTCTCACTGATAAGTTGTAAAGCTTTGGGGAAAATTAAATGTAAGTGTATAAAAAAGTATTACTACAACACTTAATGCATATTAAGGATTGGATAATGAATTTTCTATGTGCCCTAAAAAAAATAATTCTCAGAATAAGGATTAAAAAACTCTCTAGAGTAAAAATCAGAGTCAAATCTCATGAGATCTCTAAAAGTGATGGTTTGTTTCATCATCCAACTTCAATAGGTTCAGGATGAACTCAGAGATCATTTTCTTTTCTCCTCAAAAATATTTGAACCAAAGGATATTGAACTAAAGCGACTCCAACAACTTGACTCCATCATTCTGGGATCCACATAGGTCTTCAGTCAAATTCCCAAACGAAATTCACAACATAGAAATCCCCCACCCTCAGTGACGGCAGGGCCTTCCCTGCTCACGTAGTCTTGACCATCAGGATCCTAGATCCCCTCACCTCTAGGAAACGACAGATGTCCCTCTTGTCGCCAACCTTCATGGCTACCACATTCTCAAACATCCAGAAGAAGGGCCGGTCGTCACCTTCCTTGGGCCTTGCATAATTCAGCAGGTGGTAGAACTCGAAGAAAAGTCGGCCTGTGCCCTCTGAGCCCACAAAAGAAGATGGCTGGCTGGGATCAAAACCACCCCTCCACATTGCAACCAATGAGTTCCCAGAGATCACCTAATTGAGGCTGGTGCCCCACATTCCCTTAATAGCAGTGCCATGTTTAAGTATCTTGTGGGTCTGAGGCTTCACAATGTGACATGAACAAAGCTGACAGGTAAGGCTGGCAAGAAGCTAAGAGCTCCTGCTCAGCACACTCTTGCACCAATACTCAGTTGAGATAGGGTCTTCTGGGACTACCAAACGAAGGGATACTCACCATATAGGCCTTTCCTGGCGGGATTCACATTTGAGAGGTCATTGCATGGGCTCCCACCAATTACCAAGTCAAAGGGACCCCATTCTTCAACCTGTGAAAGAAAAACGGTATTCTCACAGGAGGACAGGAGCAAGAATGGAGGGACAGACAGCCTGGGTTCCAGGTAACCTGTCAAGATAGCTTGCCTGCTATGACCGCAGGTTACCTTAACCCACAACCTTGGGCATGGCTGTGAGGTTGTGTGGGGTTCAGGTCCTGGAGGAGGAGGGTGTTATAAAGCCCCCAGGGGTGCAGGCTGTCCTCACATTTTTCTTTGTGATGTTCCTGACATCATTCACGTATTTAATATTGCCTTCGTGCTTAACAGTTCCAACGGCGATGGACTCTTCACACACTTCAGAGGCGACATACTTCTCTACTTTGATCCCCAATTCTTTGAGGACTAAGTACCCTGTGTGAAATTGGGGAGACATAAAATACACTCAGGGTCATCTTGCCTCCAGTGATTCTAAGTCATATCCAAGAACTCACACCAGACCCAAAAAGTTACATTGTAGCGCTCACGTGAAATTCTGCAGATAGCACAAACTCGCTGAAACAGCAGAGTCCTTAGAGGAGAGAGTTTTTTTAAGAAAACAGACATGTATCAACTATTACAGACCACTGGTAGAACCTATTAAAACTGACATGTCTAGCACTGGCTGGTTTGGCTCAGAGGATAGTTGTAGGCCTGTAAACAAAAGGGTCCAAGGGTTCAATTCTGGTCAAGGACATGTCCCAAATTTGCAGGCTCGATCCTTGGCCTAGGTTGGGGTGATGGGAGGCACCAGTGGATGTGACTCTCACATGTTTCTCTCTCTCTTTTCACCCTACCCATCCCTCCCACTTTTTTTTTTAATATATTTTATTGATTTTTTACAGAGAGAAAGGGAGAAAGTTAGAGAGCTAGAAACGTCGGTCGATGAGAGAGAAGCATTGTCCAGCTGCCTCTTGCACACACCCTACCGGGGATGTGCCCGCAACCAAGATACATGCCCTTGACCGGAATCAAACCTGGGACCTTTCAATCTGCAGACTGACGCTCTACCACTGAGCCAAACCAGTTTCGGCCCCTCGAACTCTTATTAAAAAAAAATCAATGGAAAAATATCCTTAGGTGAGGATTAACAACACACACATACACACACACAAAAGAAAAAAAAAAGGAAAAAAAAAAAAAAAAACCTGACAGGTTTACCACCGTTGCCCCAGCACAATCAAGCACAGACACAAGGATAGGGATCTTCACCAAAACCATGTTTAGAAAATAACCTCAAAGTCAGGGGACAATGGCCAAGGCTCCATTTTCCACTGTGGGTTACCTGTGCCAGCATACACAGGTGCGGAGGATGCAGCAGGGTGGAGCAAACAAGCAGCTAGCCATGACCCTGAGGGTCATTAAAAACTGTCTGCTTTAGGCAGGTGGACACTGGTAGACACACACAAGTACAATGATGCTAACTGCATAGCACTTTATCCCACTGCTTCCTGCTCTGGCGAAATGGAGATATTCCTACATTCCAGAGCCATTTATAGTATTAAATGTGTTAAATTAGGAAAAGCTCCCCAAGGGTGACATGCTTGTTGTACACATGTGGAAACTGGAGGAATAGGAGGAAAAAAAAAAAGGATATTAATAGGAGTTGTCTGTTAATCTCCAATATATCCATGTTATCCAGTAAAAATCATTTTCCAAGATATCTACATATAATACAATGTAAGATATGAAATATGTATATATGACTTTTAAAAGAAACAAGAGGACCAAAGCGGGAGAAATACGTGGTGGAGAGGATTTGAGGAGAGAAACAGGAAGCCATTCATTGGTTTTCTCAAAATTGCCGACTGACAGATAATCCCAGGGTTCTGGCTTGGCATTGAGGACAGACACCTGGACCAGGTGAGCATCCCAAGGTGAATTCCAAACTCACCTGTGGCAATTCCATCAAACAGGGACAAGACTCGAATTGGCCGCCTTCGGGCTGCAGGAATCGCAGGGTATAACTTGGGGGCCTCCTGCCAGGTTAAAGAAGGTCATGGAGGTCAAGGTGCAGGGGGAAAGGCTCAACCTCTGGGCGAGCTGACCTTCCTCTGACGAACTCAAACCCTGCGTTCTGCCACTTCTTAGCAGGGATCCCATTAAGAGCTTTGGCACAGACTGGCTAGTCTATCCTTAAGACATGGAACACAGAGACTTTGAGACAGATGCACACACACAAAAGGACATGGCACCTTAAACATCAAGACCTGGGACTGCCTCACAGACCTGGTAGAATGGAGCCCATGAAAATCCACTCCCACTACAAATCAAATACTACGTCACGGGATTCTCTTTCCTTAGAAAATCCACAAAGGAGAGAAAGACCACTTTCTGAGGACTGTACAAAGGGGAAGCCTGAGGACTGTACAAAGGACATATCAATTAGCCCTGTCTCTGAAGTAGGAGCGACTCAGCCAGTCATTTGTATAATGGCCCTCTTTATGAAATCTTGCCAACAGTCTTCGAGGGCATTGCAGTCCCGACTCCCTGGGGTAGGAGGTGCTAGAAGGAGCCCGTGGCTTACGTATTCGAGATCAGGGTCACTGGTGAAAAAGGACTGCAGGCGAACATTCCAGTCCTTCCGGCGCTGCAGGACCCCGTGACAGCGCTGCGGGAGGCACATGTAGCAGCTCCAGGGCTCCTGCAGCTTGGCATCGGCTGCTGTGCCCGAGCCCACCAGCAAATCCAGGCACTCCACACAAAAGCACCTGTGGCCGGGAGCAGAGAGAGGACATCAGGCCTTTCTCCTACATCCAGAGTCCTCCTTCCCAGGCAGACAGTAATAATGCACTGTCCAAAAACCAGCTGCTTCTCCCCATGGGCAGAACGGCCCCACAGTGTGATGTGGGATACACTAACCTCTTTTTCCTAGGATATCAGTACCCTCCGTGCTTAGGCTCTGCACAGCAAAGGATCTCTTAACCCCACTCTTCTCCCCAAAAGTGGCTATTCTCCCGGGAGGCTTCCACAACTCAGGCACCACCCTCGGACATTTCTGTCTTACTTAAATAGATGAGAACCACAGCCCCTGCAGAGCAGCAGTAACTCTGGGCCCCTGTCCTCAGGTCCACTGGACTCCCAGCCCCCTGGGCCTGAGTTTATTTGGCTGTAGGAATCACAGACATGATGTGGGAGCCTCAGGGCCCTGCTGGGTCTCACCCACAGGGCTAGCCTAAAGCTCACCGGCAGCAGCTTGTGTTGCTGCACAAGAGCAGCTCGCGCCCCTCACAGCACACGGTGCAGTAGGACTGATAGCCATCATCATCATACATGTAGAACAGCTCGAGGAACCGGTCCTGGCGGCCAGAGAGAAACACTCATAAAACACCCACTGGGCCCACTGGCTCGAAGGACAGATCACTGGTAAACAACTGGCTGGGGTGAGCGCGCCACTGCAGATGGCTTCCTCTGTGGCAGCACTGCCCTCAGAGGGGAGTTTAGGGTGATGGTGGCCAGGGAGGGCTTCCCTAGAACCCTCCCCAATGGCAGGTCCTTTTTTCTGGGGAAAAACAGGGAAGTTGTGTGGAGGGAAGGGGCAATAAAGTCCAGGGAGGGGATAGACTTACCCGACATGTCTGACAGAGCCCCCCCTCAAAGAGAGGGTGGAAGGACACGGGGTTTTTCCTACCGCAGGACAAACAGCTGTCTGTAAGAAAGCATGCACGCAGCTTGTGACACCTCAGGACCAGTAACAGCTGGTAAAGCCTCGGGTCTACGGTTCTTGAACACTCGTTCCATGTTAGCAATATACCGAGGTCTCTTCACGCTTTATTCCTTTCAACAATCCTTCCACGCAAACAGACCCACTCCCGACGTGGGACACACACTGAGCAAGGGCCCCTCCAGCACAAGGTCAAGCTGCAGAGGCCTGGCACACAGATCTCTGAGACTCTTCAAAGACTAGGACTCTGGGACAATTGGTGGTGACACCAATTTGCCCACTGTCACATCATGAAAGAACTATCCAATGACCAGACTCTACACACAGCCATAATCACAGTTTCAGACCCAGGTGATTAACTATTGGGCTACCCTGACTTCCCTTCATTATCAGCAGGCAGGACAGAGTAGACAAGCAGGCAAAGCCTAGAACTATCTAAGATGGGAAGGGAGGACTTTGAGGGAAGAGTATTACCATTACCTTCCAGACTGCTCTTGTTGTTGGCAACATCCAAAGCCATTTGCTCTGTTGAGAAAAGAAGGTGAGACATGGAATCATGGAGCCACTCACTGATCCATTAACACCTGCTGAGCTGTCCTCACAATGTGCCCTCCCAGTAAAGGGTGTTCACGGCCCCTAAATCACCTCGAGTCTGGTCCTCCTCTCCTCGGTCTTTGCCATTGTTATAGTTTGTCTTCAGGCGCTTCGGCTGGGGGCAGTAGTCCATGGAGGTGGATGAGTCATCAGTGGTGCGTCTGCGCTTCTTGTTCTCTGTTAAAGGGAAGGACATAGCAGCCGGGCTGGTAGGAGGTGCGGGGAGAACATGGGCCTGAGTGACAGATGCTTTTGGGCCATGACAGAGCCCACATTGGGCCCTCCATATGGTCCCACTATGGGACATAAGTCAAAATCCCTCACACATCTAACATGTTTATAAGGTTTTAAAGAGCTTTAGAACAAGCACAAATATTAGGCAAAGGCTAACCCATAGCTGAAACCCTGAAACATTCGTCTCCAATGCCCAACACAGCGGCTGTTGGTCACTTAAAGCTACTGAGCACTTAAAATGTAGGAATTGCACTTTGCATTTAATGTTAATGTAAATTTTAAGATTGCTCCAATTAAGTTCATTTGGAACTTGGTCAAGTGAAAATTTGGAACTTACACATTTGTGAAAATATAGTTTCTAACAAAAATTTCACATCCAAATTGAGATATAAAACACATTAAATATGAGATTTTAAAAACAGTACTAAATGGAAATGTAAACATAATTTTCATACTGACTGTTAGAAATGCTTAAATGTTGGAAATATTCGACTAAATTAAATGCATAATTCGTACTGTCTTTGTTTCTTTTACTCTTTTCAATGTGGCTATTAGAACATTCTTTAAAGTATATGATGTGGAAATTCTTTACATTTCTTTAAATTCCACTTATATATATTATAGCCCCAATATGTATATATACAGTATAATTTATAACTTATACTGTATATATACATATAAGGGGCATGGTTAAATTTGACTCTGTTCCTAGGGAAAAAAAATTATGCAGTCATTAAAAATCATAAGGACTCTTTAGTGACATCTGACAGTGCTCGTATGATTAATATCAAGAACAGAAAGCAGGAATCCAACTAGTGTACAGAAAAAGATGGAAGGATGTGCACACCCAACAAGATTAACCTGGATGGAGGACTTGTGAAGATTGAGAGTGAAGTGGGGGATGAGGTTCAGGTTGAGATTTCTTTTCCAGTGACCTCTGTATAGGCAAAGAAATTGAAAGTGCAGAGAAAATAGTGCATAGACAAAGGATGGGAAGGGAATACCGTATTTCCTTGATTCTAATTTCATACTGCCTGCACGACGCACCTTCGACTTATTAACCACTTTTAATGGGGGAGACAAAACAAAACAGAAAACACTATGTTAAATGTATGATCAGACAAATCATGCATTTCAGGCATCCTGGATTTCCGGAAAGTGATCATGGGAAAACTATACTTATCTTCTAATGGAGGAATTATGCTATTGGTCAAAATGTTAGAATAAGGTTATGCCTCTTTCGGAGGTGGCTCATGGTTTTGGGGTTTTGGAGGCTTTTTAAATACTTTCCAAGTTTTCACCAATGAGCAGAGCTCAATTTTTCCTTTTAAAAGTAAAGGTGCTGGTGAAGATTCCATCTTGATCTCCTGTTGATTCAAATTTACAGAACAGATTGCATCGCAGACCAGCGAAGCCAGAGAAGGTTGGGCTGCTTGTTTTCCCATAGCCCTGGGGTTCACAGAGTGACAGAGCAGGTCTCTAAACCTGACTGGTTGCTGCAAAGCTGGGGTGGAGCAAGGGGCAGGAGGGGTGCTGCATCTCCCAAGGGTGCTCCCACTAGCATTGACAGTCAGGGTTGCCACAGGGACCCGTTCCCACCTGTTTGCTTGTTGTTGGGTTTGAGGCCCTCGATCCCGGTGGGCTTGAAGCCCCCATGGGCCCACTCCAACATGGGCTTCAGCTGGTCCTCCAATGAGTCTCCGGGGCTGCTGGGGAAGGTCTTGCCAGCCCGCACCCTGGCTTTCTGGCGAGATAAAGGCGAGTCTGTGATGAACAGCAGGGGTGGGTACTCGCCAGGTGGCACCCAGGGATTCCCCCAGCGGGGGCCTGCATTCCCCTTCACTCTGGGCCCTTTCATAAGCAGGCAGCTGTCCTGGGCATGGTATGTGACAGGGAGGGGCCTGTGCAGGGGACAGGCAGGAGGCCACACAGGCACCAAATATGGCACCAAATACAACCTCTTCCCTGTAGAGAACTTGAGTGGTCAGCTCCCTCTCAGAGAGCAGAGGATCAGAATTATCACTGCTACTTTTAGATATAGAAGTATCACCAACTCTGAGAAAGCTCCAGATTTCTTGATTTATTTTCCTAATGAAGATGGCGAGGTGTCAAGTTTTAGGTCTTATTTAAGAAGCACTAAGATCCCTAACTAAGCAGAGGCTGGTTCATAAGTGCTGGGCACAGGCCACTGATCTTTTCAGTCCTAAGTTAAGGGAAAGAAAGAGCCTGATAGATCCCACCGACAAGGGGAAAAGGCAGCTGTCCTCAATGGCTGCCTGCCTGGAGGTTTTGCCCAACTGGTGTGGCTCAGTGATTGAGCGTTGACCTGTCTGTCAACCAGGAAGTCAGGGTTTGATTCCCAGTCAGGCCACATGTTGGGTTGCAGACTTGATCCCTAGGGGGGGATGCAGGAGGCAACTGATCAATGATTCTCTCTTATCATGATGTTTCTATCTTTCTCCCCCTCCCCCTTCATTTCTGACATCAATAAAAAAAATTAATAAATAAAGGAACATTTTTCTAGCTCTAGAAAAGCATTATTCACTGTATAAACATTGTCCCCTACTTTCCAGTGCTCCTCCTCCTTAATTCAGTCAGCAATACTGAGAACCACCAGGGAGAAGCTGAAGTAGTTAGTACTCAGAGTCATATGGAAGGCTTAAAGCCCTTCCTTCCCTTCCCAGTCTGACCCTCAGGCCAACAAGTTTGCATTCACCTCCTGCCTGGTGGCCCTGTCCCTTCCAAGCCATCCTTGGTTACACTGTGGCCTGAGCTGGCTTTCTGTATGTCTCTTGCCTTAATCCTGCTCTGGGGGCCAGGTCCTACCCACCCACCACCGTGTTACCTCCAGAGCGTGGTACATGGCCTTCCTGTAAGAGACCAGCTTATTGAAGGTCGCCAGATTAAAGTGCTGGCTGAATAGCCCCAAGGCCACCAGCTTATCTGCAGAGACCTGAAAGAGAAAGACATCATCAACATCCCCCTACCCTGCATCTGGGGTGACCTATCTCTTCACAGGAGATATTATTCCAGGAGGTCAAGTTCAGATTCAAAAAAAGGGGGCCGAAACCAGTTTGGCTCAGTAGATAGAGCGCCGGCCTGCAGACTCAAAAGTCCCAGGTTCGATTCCTGTCAAGGCATGTACCTTGGCTACGGGCACATCCCCAGTAGGGGTGTGCAAGAGGCAGCTGATCGATGTCATTGATGTTTCTAGTTCTCTATCCCTCTCTCTTCCTCTCTGTAAAAAAAAAAACAAAATATATATATATATTTTTTTTTTTTTAAATTGGGGGGGGGGAGGGAATAAAAGAGAAAATAGAAATGATATATACTCCTGATGCACCCAATAGCCAGAAGCATGGTCAACACTCCCAGTGTGAGAAAGTTTCTGCTCCAAGAGGATACAATTGGAAGCACCCTGTATGTGTACATATTTTAAGGGCACATGACCCACATGGTCCCTGTTGCGGGCCCCTTGTAGGTGAATCTTGTAATTCTCTGGATGCTCCGACATTGGGGTTTTGCAAATGTTCTTCCCTCTCCTTTGTAAATGTGACAAATAGCTATGATTACTACTTAACCCTCTATTAATTTGTTAGTTGAACTTGTTATGTTTAGAGAACAGTGTTTGGTACAGTGTAAGAGTTTTATTGCCGTCGTTGCTATCTTCCTTCCACTGGGGCTAAAGATCCATAAAAATCTCATGCCCCAAGTTCCAAGGCCATGCAGGAACCAATCAGGAAGGGATGAAACTGGGCGTTTGGGGTGCTAATCAGACTGAAAGACACACATGATGCTTCATTCTCCACGGAACATGCTCACACTCACAGACACCTCTAGCCCAAGGTCCCATGAGGTGGGGGTTCCTGATACCAGGCAACTCTACATCCACATCTAGGGCAAGAAGAAACGGGGGCTCAACATAGCTGTACACTGAATGCAAATGCTGCCCCCAGCGCCAAGCTGCTCCAATGCAGCACAAGGGCTTAGCACCAACCTCACATGGCAATCCCTTCCTTAATGCCAACAGCCCCACGCTTTATCTCATTAGCATCAGACTCAATCTTCCAAAGTGCATTTTATGTCTCACCGAGCCAAAGCAATCACAAATAATCCATGCTGCTTCATTTCACACAGAACTCATTGCCCACATCCCTGCCTTTAGATGCTTCAAGGAGGGCAGAGACAAGGACATTTATCCTGCTCCCTCTGCTGGCCAACGAGGACACCAGCATGCAGGCAGGGAGACTTGCCCTGGGGGAACTTCAATGTGTTTACAGCAAATGGCCCAAAGGAAGCTTAATTTCTAGGAAACCAAAACCTCAACATGAGGCCAAATCCCACAAATGTTACTAGAGGTACTTCATTCCCACATCTGCCTCCATCTAATGTGTTCTGTATCCTCATCTAATCTTTGGGCATGCTGAAGGTTAGAGAAACATTTCAAAAAGACACCACTCCAGTAATTGTCTGCAACATTCTACTCAAATCCTAGAGACTTCAGCCCTAGCTGGGTACTCAGTGGTTAGAGCATCAGCCCCAGGGCTCGTGTGGGAGGCAACTAGTCAATGTGTCTCTCTCACATCAATGTTTCTCTCCATCTCTCCTCCTCCCTTCCACTATCTCTAAAATCAATGGACTCAGGTGAGGATTAACAAAATAAAACAAAAAAACACCTGGAGATTTCAAAATGTGCCTTCAAAATAGATATAAAGATCACAACAGTCTAATTCATTTGTCTCTAGTACCACTCTTATAGGGAAGAATCTCAAGAAAGATGAACTTAAAATGATGAACCCCAATAATTGAAAAACCCCTGAAATAACCAACTCTGCAAGGTCGATTACCATCACCAGGCAACTCTAGACCATCTCCAGGCTACTTACAGGGGCCTATCTGCCACCTCTGCAGGGCTAAATTATGTTTACCCTTCCTGTTTCTGCCCCAGAGACCGGGGGAAAAAACAACAGGGACCAAGTGGCCATGGACCCACCCAGAGGACTTCCCATCCATTTGTCTCCTGTAAGGGTAGACTGAGCTCTGTCCCATGAGACTCTGTGTCTCTTTAAGCCATTTTACAAGGAAGACTTGTTATTATCCCTGGATACAGAGTCAAACATAGTCTCACCATCTGGAAATAGCAAGGCACAGGCCCTTATCTCAAAAGGCAGCTGCACAAAGAAAGGACAGAGATGCTGTGGGTCTGCAGGCCCATGACAGTCTGCCCTTCCCTGGACTCACCTCAGAGAACTTGCTGTCGCCAAACCACTGGACCCACCGCATGCCGGACATGGCCTGGCGCTTGGAGGTGACCTTCCAGGACACGACCATGGCAGGCCACCAGGAGAAGCCCTTGATCTTTCCCCACACAAGGTCCCCTATTCCAAACTCCTTCCCATCCTGCAAGATAAACCACATGAAAGAATCCTAATGAGACAGACCACCTGGGCCAAGAGAAACTCTTGCAACCCCACCGACCCCAATGGCAAGCAACTGCCTGACGGAGCCAACATGGGCTTCCTTGGCGTGCCTGCCAGGGCACCTCAAGACATTACTACCCACCTCCAACACTTCATGGTAGGAAAGGTCGGAGAATGGCTTAAAACAAGAGGCAGTTGTTTCCAAGCAGCTTTCCAAGCAGCTCAGTTGGTTAGAGCATTGTCCTGGTCAAATTTCCACCCAGGGCACATATAAGAAACAACCAATGAATACATAAACAGGTGGAAGAAACCAGTTTTTTAAAAAAATCTTTTTCCCTCTCAATCTAAAATTTAAAATTATCTTTAAAAAATAAAATTAAAATCAAGAAATTTAGCCGAGACCGGTTTGGCTCAATGGATAGAGCGTCGGCTTGGGGACTGAGGAGACCCGGGTTCGATTCCAGTCAAAGGCATGTACCTTGGTTGCGGGCATATCCCCGGTAGGGGGTGTGCAAGAGGCAGCTGATCGATGACTCTCTCTCATTGATGTTTCTAACTCTCTATCTCTCTCACTTCCTCTCTGTACAAAATAAGTAAAATATATTACAAAAAAAAAAAAAAGAAAGAAATTTAAAAATATAAGGGACGCCAAAACCAGTTTGGCTCAATGGATAGTATCGGCTTGGGGAATGAAGGGTCCCGGGTTCGATTCCAGTCAAGGGCATGTGCAAGAGGCAGCTGATCGATGATTCTCTCTCATTGAGGTTTCTATCAATCTATCCCTCTCTCTTCCTCTCTGTAAAAAAAAAAAAAAAAAAATCAATAAAATATATTTTTAAAAATAAATAAAATAGATGGTATAATCTACTCTGAAGTAATGTACGGTGAAAAAAAGGATGTCCACACGATATGTGTATATAGATATGTACTAACTATACTGCAGGGCTTGAGTGAAAACAAGCTCAGTTTGTTGATTATAGGCATGAAAGACAACTCATTTTCCTAATGTGTGAAAAAAAAGCCAATTACCCCGTGTATGTATAGTATACAGTGATGAACAGAATCATGCACTATGTATACAAAGTATATATATTACTAGGTGTAAATATGTAATGTTCAGGAATCATGTGCTTGAGCTATCTGGGAGATTAGGGTACAGGATCATGGTACATGTGGGAAATGTACTTGAATCAATTCAAATATCATGCCAAAAGGGACCCAAAATTGTAGTCATTAGTACCCCCTCCAAAAACAGTATGCTTCTCTCTCCTAAATTCTCCCCTTCCTGGTGGTACCTGATACTCGGTGCCATCTGTATCTCTGCCCTCCGCATACATCTGTGGGGAGTCCAAGTTCTCCTGTTGGCCGTCCTGAGCCAGGCGGGTGTAAGGGGTACTACTGCTCTGGGGCATCACACTGTCATCTGTGAGGTCAATGGTGGGATAGGGGCTCTCCGGGGACGGCCACGGGGTGCCTGCCGACGATGCTGTGCGCCGCCTCAGGGACTGTGGATAGAAAGACACACGGCTTGGGCCACAGCACGCCAGGCGGATGACCAGAGATAAGTGGCACCCAGATTGCCTCCCAGGCAAGCAGAGAAAAGGAAGACAAAGGCGTAAGTTAAAGCAGTACAGAGACCAGTAAGAATGGTTTCCCATGACCAAATATTCCTCAAGTGGTGGGAGAAAGCAAAGCCACTCCCATCAAAACAGACCATTGAGGGCAGAGGCACAGAATGAGTGATGCTCACGTTGAGGCTCGGAGCCACGCCCAGAGAGGACCACCGACTTCCTAAGTGCTTACACTGTGTGCCCAAACTTGCAACAGGAGCGGAGAGTTGCTGTAACCCCTGCAGGTGTTCTCAAAAGACATTCAGTGAAGACACCAGGGAGACAAGAGAGTTGTGGAAGTCAGTAGCTTATAGCCCATTTCCAAGGAGGAGCAAGAACCCAGTCACCAGGGAATTCTTGCATTCCCACCATAGTTCCATCCGGGATCAGGCCAGAGAGGTCATCAGGCTTTAGAGAAGCTTACCCAGCACCCAGGAGAGAAAGGAAAGGCAAGACCCTGAAAAGCAGAGGAGTGTGAAGAACAGAAGCCAGTTAGGGTTAGACACCGGGTACTTCCATGGTGATCTTCCAATGAGAGGTGGGGACAGGGGTCTGGGCATCCGGGAACCAACCCTGGTAGTTGAGAACTCCACTGGGGACTCGTCCATGTGATTGCGGCCGGGCCGGCCTCGGGTGGAGCGGAGGGAGAGCCTGTGCCTCTCCCGGCCAGAGGCACTGGTGTTATTTCGGGTTCGGACCTGGAAGCAAGAGAGGATAAGCACGAGGCCTTTGGTGACGGTAGGCATGCGGTGTCGCGCTGGGGCCCAGAGGACTGGGCTCAAGAGGCAGTTTCTGGTCAACAGAAGTGCACGAGGCATGTATGTGGGGATAGAGAAGACTCTAGACTGCCAACTTCCACCCAGACACTCCCCAGCTCATGAGATAAGGGGTTAGGATAGCCAGCAGGGCCGACGGACAATCCACAGCAGACCCCACTGCCTGTCACAGCTGAAACTGGCACCTGTAAGTTGGATTGAAAAATAAAATTCAAGTTCACTCTTAATGAAACATGTTTTTCCCAAAAAAAAGCATTAGAATAATTATTGCATTCTTCAGAAAGGTACTGGATCCTCAAGATCGATGGAAAGCCTTGGGCTTCTTTCTCAAAGTGGCATGAACTAGGGGGTTGCAGACCTGTGTTGGAATCCTACAGAAGAGTTAATATTGAACCATTGGTAAGTTACCAGAATCTTCTCTCGTCCGTAAAATGGGGATGATACACATCATATTCTAGAGCAGAGTGTGATTATAAACTGCACCTGCAATGGTCACCAAGGGTTAGCCGGCTCTCTAACATACTGGGTTGCCCGAGAGCAAATAGTATCTTCCATTCACAGAATCCACCCACAGAAGTGACTCTCATAGGTAACTGGCACTGAGCCAACCACCTGCCAACTCTATCACCCTTGGACACATCCAAGTGTGTTTTAAGAGTTTAAAAACTGCCGAGACCGGTTTGGCTCAATGGATAGAGCGTCGGTTGAAAGGTCCCGGGTTCGATTCCGGTCAAGGGCATGTACCTTGGTTGCGGGCATATCGCCAGTAGGGGGTGTGCAAGAGGCAGCTGATCGATGACTCTCTCTCATCGATGTTTCTAACTCTCTATCTCTCTCCCTTCCTCTCTGTACAAAAATCAATAAATAGAAGGAAAAAAAAGTTTAAAAACTACCATCTGAAAGAAAACTATGATATTTCATAAACCTTGCTATCATTTTTCTACTTTCAAAACCGTTAACTTCTCTTCAAAGTCCCCCTAGGATAGTAGTTGACAAACTCATTAGTCAACAGAGCAACGAGCCGCAGTTTGCCAACCACTGCACTCGGAGATCCAAAACATGTTGTTATTGTTTTTTACCACAGGCCTATGAGTGGTTTGAGATGGTGCCTTGGCTCAGGGGTGGGACTTACAGCTGGGCTTTCAGACCGAGTCCTGGTTTCCCGGAAGAGTTTTGGCATTATTGGAGTGTCGGAGCCATCTCCGTCTTCCTCGTCACCCTCTCCATCACCCGTCAGGTCCTTTATAAATGAAACATGTGCTTCAGGATATCATGAACAGATTATAAAACCAAAATAGCTTAAAAATGAATAGTCAATCATATTAAAAGAATATTAATGTTGGTCCAAGAGGCCTAAAAATATCTTCAACTACCTAATTTGGCTCCAAACAAATTTTACAATAGCTCAAACCATAGGATCATGAATTCAAGACATGAAAGATAAAAAACCCCCAGTGGAATCAGAAAGCCAAAGACATTGTATGATGGCAATATACATGATGAAGACTTCTTTGTCTACGCCTTAGACTAATTTGGCTATCCCAAGCAGGGAGACCTGAACCCAGTCTCAACTATGTGGCCTTCAGTGTGTCCATTTCCACCTTTAAAACTGACACAAAAGCCCTGCCCTGGGTGATGTGGCTCAGCTGGTTGGAGCGTTGTCCCCACAGTGAAAGGCTGTTGGTTCAATTCCCAGTCAGGGTACATCCTCAGTGGGGATGTGTATGGGCAAGGGGCAGCTCAGGGCTGGTTAGGACCCATGTCTTCCTTTGCTATGATCAATGTTTCTTTAATACGTTGATGTTTCTCTTTCTCTCTCTCTCTCCCTTTCTCTCTCTCTCTTTCTCTCTCCCCACCCCCCCCCCCACCTCACTCACCAATAAAAACATACCTTCAGGTGATGATAAAATTGGAGCAACAGTACTTCCCTTATAAAACAAGAGGGTTATAGCAGCACTGAGAAATTGTCCAGGCAGGAGACTGCATTACTATTACTGGTAACTACTGACCAAAACAGCTGCCCTGAGCCTCTCATCCAGCACACTGTCCCCAGCAGCTGGGAGCCCCCCAGAATAGAAGCTGTAATAAAGGGCGAGCTTTTATTTATGCACTTTTATCATGACATTGTCCATTATGCCTGACACTGGTTCTTTGAAAAAAGTTAACCAAGTTGACAAAACTTTAAAGGATTTAACAAAACAGAAGGCATAAATAATGTCAGGAAGACTGTGACTTGGGGGAAAAAACTGATCAAGTAGAAACTCTGATATTGCAATGACTGTGAAAAACTTCCCTAGAACAAGCCAGGTGAGTTATTTCCAATGTGCATCAAAACCAGACACAGATAGATTATGAGAAATAAAATCATACATCTAAATCATGGAATAGATGCTAAAATATAAATCAAATTCAAAACACAACGTGCCCAAGTTGAAGTTGAACTCATTCCAGGAATAAAAGGACAATTTGCTTCTTTAGGAATTTATCAATTTAAGTAACTGATTATTCAGGTTGAGAAAAAAGTGATTTCAAAAATTACACAGGAAGCAGCTAGTAGAAAAACTTCATTACTTCGTAAAATAAACGTTTATGATTTTTTTTAAAAAACTTGGCATACAATGGCAGCACATGCCATTCTAAGTGTGAGGTTGTTCAAAGTACTGTGTGCCTAGCAGTCCTCAGACTCATCATTCAACAACTATTTGTGGAGCACCCATTTGGGGGGCCTTATGTACCCCACTTAATGAAAGCTTAAGGGGAGTCCGCCTGAATCCTGAAAGAGGCAGCGTAGAGCCCATACCTGAGTATAACTTAGCAGGCTGGAGACCTCTCTCTTGGACAGTCGTGAGCTTGATCTGCGGCCTGTGGAGGGAAGAGAAATGCAAAAAATGTCTGTTTTGCCGAAACCGGTTTGGCTCAGTGGTAGAGCGTCAGTCTGCGGACTGAAAGGTCCCAGGTTCAATTCTGGGCAAGGGCATGTACCTTGGTTGCGGGCACATCGCAGTGGAGGGTATGCAAGAGGCAGCTGGTCGATGTTTCTCTCTCATCGACATTTCTGGCTCTCTAGCTCTCTCCCTTCCTCTCGGTGAAAAAAATCAATAAAATATATATATTAAAAAATATATATCTGTCTTGTGGAAGGGGCAGCTCAGGGCTGGTTAGGACCCATGTCTTCCTTTGCTAATGGGCAACTTCCTCTTTGGGCTGATGGGATCTCACTGCTGGCATTCTCAAGGATTAACACCTAACCACTCAGGACCTGTAGTCACCTCCATGTATCAGGCAACAGTGTCCAGGGCCAGGCACAGTATAAGATCCAAAACAAAACTAAAGGTTCTCATGAGAGAAGGCATCAAAAATTCCTCCAGAACTGTGCTGCCCAACTCAGTGGCACTAACTACACTTAGATGAACAGTCCAGTGCCTCCCCCACCAGCCACCGTTTAAGTGCTCATGTGTGGCTCCTGGCTTTTGTAGTGGACAATACAGAAAGAGAACACAGACACCCGTGCAAAGTTGTATCAGACAGGACAATGTGAGGAGCTGTCAATAACAGGACGGGGCAATACAGGATTTTTTTAACCATCTGGGTTAGAAAAGCTCAGTGAGGTGGATCCCAGGTCATCTGACCCGAGGAACTGCAAGGGAAAGGTGCAAAGAAGCCTCAGCCCATCCAGCCCAAGTGATTTTCTTCCCAGTTGGTCCCAGATACCAGGGAACAGGGTCCCAGAAGAGCAGAACACCCTATGCTATGCTGCAACCTCCCCCATTCTGACTGGGGGAAAAAAAACAAAAACAAAAACAGGGATCGTGGCCTCCTCCAAGTCCCCGCTGAGGTGAGGAGAGGAAGGAGGCCAAGGGCTGTGGCAGGGTGACAAACAGGTTTGGCTCTGCCCACCTATATCCTCCTTTTCCCTTCCCTGGGAGGTCGTTTGGGACCAGACCCTCTCCCCCCATAATCTGCCTGCAGCCTGCCCAAAAGGAGGCTCATGTCCCAGCTGCGGTCCAGTGTCTGTGCCACCCCACCTCCCCACAGGCCCAGCCACCTCTGATCTCCGGGGTGCTGATGGCCTCCAAGATCGGGGGTGACGGTGCGTCCTTAGAGTCGGAAGAATGGTTGCTGCAGTCCCCATTGGTGATGATGGAGTCTTCCCTCCCGCTGGCATCCTCTTCTCTGCTGAGTGGCCTGGTGTCTCCCTTCATTGTTTCCTGTGAGAGGGTCAGAATGGATAGGGCAGCAGTGAAGCAAGGGCTAGAGGGGGCAGCATAGTCCCAAACTGCCCACCTATGGTCCTATGCCCTCGAGCCAAGAGAAGCCCTAGGACATAGGCTCAGGCTGATACTCCTTTCCCAGGACCCCTCCCCGACTGCCCCCATAGCCTGCCCCCCTCACCAAACTCGGAGGCTCAGGACTTGATTCCATGGGACCAGGCTGCCCGAAGGCTCAGACGCCAGCACCCAGCAGGCTGGGCCTTGGTCTGAGGCTCAGGCTGCTCTGTGCAATTAGCTGGCCACTTCAAACAATGCCATTTAGTAACCGCCTGCCTCAGCCTTGACTGCCGCTGGCCTTGGTCCCCTCTGCCCCCGGCCCCTTCTCCCTACCCAGCTTCTGTGGGGCCTCAGGAAGCCAGTGCATTATTTTCCCTCCTGACCCCTTTGTTTGCTCTCTCCCTTTCCCTCAATCTCCAGGTCCTCTTCCCACCGCCCCCTCCTCCCCCACAGAACAGCTTCTCTCTTCTCCATGGCAGCACAAGTCCCGCCCCACCCCAACCTCAGGGACCCATTGGTCTGCTTGCCTGTCACTCTCTCCTCTCCACCCTCACCAGCTGAGGCTAAGAGTCCCAAGTTCCCAGGAAGGGAAGGGATAGAGGAAGCACAGGCAAAGGACCGGGACAGTTAACTGGAGGCATGCCCTCAATCTGCTCCAGCCTTACCCCACTCTGGGCCTGTGTCTTCCTACTGCTGCTCCTCCTGGTAAATGCACCATCACTTACTCAGCTAAGACCAGCTCAGGCCAGGTCTTCACAAATGGGTTCAAGGGCTATGTGACCTTCGACCTGGCCCACCACCTATAACATGTTGGCAGCAAGAACCTGTACCTTTCATTTATCCCTCCTGTCATTGTGGGCCCATTTTACAGACGAGGAAAACGGACACACAGACCTTACTACTGTTAAGTAAAAGATCCCGTCTAAGAAGTGGGGCCAATGCAAAATTAGAGCCTAAATATCTCAGACTGGTATTTTTTTCTTTCTCTCTTTTTTTTTTTTTTTTGTTTAAAATATTCTTAATTTTTATTTTATTTTATTGATTTTTAAAAATATATTTTATTGATTTTTTTACCGAGAGGAAGGGAGAGCCAGAGTTAGAAACATCTATGAGAGAAACATCGATCGGCTGCCTCTTGCACACCCCCCCACAGGAAATTGCCCGCAGCCAATGAACATGCCCTTGACCAGAATCGAACCTGGGACCCTCCAGTCCGCAGGTCAACGCTCTACCCACTGAGCCAAACTTCCACCAGTCAGGGTGACTTTGATGATTTTTTTTTTTTTGAGAAATAGATTCATTTGTTGTTCCAGTTATTTATGCATTCATTGGTTGAATCTTATAAGTGCCCTGACCAGGACTCAAACCCACAACCTTGGCTTATTGGGACGGCCTTCTAACCAACTAAGCTATCTGGCCAGGGGTAGACTCCTTTAGTTTCCCCAAAACAATTCCAGAAGTATTTGGTAGCACACCTTCATGAGGAAGAACCAGGCCTGGGAAAGCTTCCCCAGCAAATGGCTGCCTGCAGACACTACGGCCCCGGAGCCCTGTCTCAGCCCCAGAGCCCTGTCTCAGGGACTTACCATTTAGTGACAGATTACACAGGAAGCCAGATAACACGAAATGCCCCAGATGACTCACTCTAGCATCCCGGGGTTCCTTCTAGAAGCATCTAGCATATAAAGCTGCAGTGATGACGCTGGTGCCGTGCCCACCAGGGGGCGCCGTAAGGCTCAGTCTGAGGGTCCTATAGCGCCCTCAGGCGGATTCCCAATGTCACTGGGAGGGGTTCCCAGATTCCATCCTCTGCAACTGTCCTTTCCCCAGACATGGGTGGAGAGCCAGCCACATGTGGCTCTTCCACAAAATACCACCTGCACGCGCAACTACAGAGCAATTGAAACTTCGCGACCCATGCGCAGAAGTCGGTTTTCGGCTCTCAAAAGAAATTTCAATCGTTGTACTGTTGATGTTTGGCTCTGTTGACTAATGAGTTTGCCGACCACTGGGGTGGGGCAACTAGGCCTCTGCTGTTCTCCACATGGCCCAAGGACCAGTGCCCTTCACATCATCTGGAGCCACTTAGAACTGAAGAAACTCGGGCACCATTCCAGACCTACTAAATCAGGACAGACATTTTCACAAGATCCATGGGTGATTAATATGCAAGGTTCTGGCCATAGCTGGTGTGGCTCAGTGGATAGAGAGTGGGCTTGCAGACTGAAGGTCCCAGGTTGGATTCCAGTCAAGGGTACATACCTAGGTTGCAGGCTCAATCCCCAGCCCTGGTAGGGGCATGTGCGGGAGGCAACCAGTCTATGGATCTCTCTGTTTCTGTCTTTCTTTCTCCCCTCCCACTTTCTCGAAAAATCAATGTGAAAAAAAAAAAAATGTCCTTCCACTCTCTAAATAGCTATAAAAAAATCCTCGGGTGAGGATTTAAAAAAAGAGAGATAGTGTTCTGGTTATAAATGTATATACTGATAGAATACAATGTAATATTTACACACACACACACACACACACACACACACACCCATTGGTTCTAGGCTGTGCAGGGTCAGTTCCTCAACACATGTTAAGGTGTCTCACCAGCCCCAGGGAAGAGCAATGCCTAACCAGGCCCAATGGGCTGCTTCTCAGTACCTTCCCCTATCAAGTCCTTACCTGGAATTAGAACAGGCTACCTGACCTATGGCCAGTTCCAGGGAGATCAAACAGGCAGAATCCCAGGAAAACTGCTGGAGTGTGGTTCAAAGTAATAATTCCCTGCCTTTCACTCCGGGCCAAACCAGTGAACTAAGTAACCTGGCAAAAGGCAGGAGGCTGGGCCCCTGAGTGTGAGACACTAGGAGCCCTGCGGAGGGGTGGACATGGTTTCTGATCAGAAGCTGGTAGCAGACCATGACTCCCCTCTCATCTAGGGGGACCCCCGAGTTCCCTCAGACAGCTCCTAATGGGGTCAATTAACTAGACAGGCCCAGGTGAGCCTGCTGCCCAGAGCCAGCAATGATTAACCACCTCAGGCTTCCCCCCAGGGCTCCGCCTGCCAACCTGTGCTGCGGACCTGCCTGAGGGACTTGTGAGCAGGGCACCTTCCCAAAGCCAGGTCTCAGCATTCAGGAAACATCTGCCCCTACAACCAGATCCATGGGACCTGGAGGAGGAGGATTCAGGGAAAAAAAACAGCCAGCTACCTGGCTGCCCCGGGGTAAGCTGGGCAAAAATACTCTTTCCAGTTGCATACCTAATTCAACGTGATTTCATGAAATATTCGCTCTCTGTAGTTTTCATTAGAGGGTTTGCAAGAACATTAACTCCCCTGGCTGCCTTTCTGCCACAACCTGCAGCCAGCCCGTTTCCGCTCTCCCTGGCCACATTCTACAGACAAACAGAGCCAGCCTCCAGGTGTGTGCTGCTGCTGACGCCCTTCCATCTCCCTATCGCCTGCCTCCGTATTACTCAGACTTCAGAAACCACATCTCAGAAGCCGGGAAGGTTTCTCCCACAGGCCTTTGCTCCCCAAATAAACATACAAACCCTCTCACCTGATAATAGACGAACTTTTTCAGTGCTTACTAGATGCCAGGCATTCTTCTGTGCTCCACCTGTATTAATTCATTTAATCCTTACATGTGGAAAATACTGTTATCCCTATTGCACAGGTGAACAAACTGAGACTGACGGGTTAAGTAACGTACGACATACTTGATCCATGTGCCTTAAAGTGCAATAGTCCAGGGACATTAAATTAAGAAAATTCATACCCTTGGCAACAGAAATAAATTAGCACCAGGGACGGGTGGGTAAGGTCAGACACACACCTCCCTCACCTCATCCCATGTATCTCAGTTTGGCTTCTGGTGATTCAAGATAGGCCTTTTCCAGAGAAATGCGTTCCTCCAACACAAGCCAACTGCTTTATCTGGTGTGATCGTGCCAGGGCGAGAGGAAAAATTGGCTGGGCTACCTCCTTGAAAGAGGTGGCACCTTCCTAAGAGACTTTTCCAGAATGACTGGCATACCAGCTTTCGGACTGCACCTCGTCGTCCCACTGCTGTCGTCCCACTGCTGTAGGAACAGTTCCCCAGTTCCTACGTCAGCTGAAGGCAGCACAAACATCTCTCCTCCTGTACCCCATCCCGAGGCAGGTCCTGTTATCCATCTGCTCTCAACAGGCTCAGATTAATTAAGTCACTCAACGAAGTGGCAGCACCAAGACTCATGCCCAGGCAGTGCAGGGCACGTGCCGTACAGGAAACAAGGGCATGGAGAATATATTATAAAGTTCTAACAATGCATCCTCCATCCCAGGAGCTATAGGTTTGTTTTTTTTGTTTTGTTTTGTTTGCTGAGGGACATGATATACCAACTGAGTGTTTAGCCTGACAGGAGGTGGTGATCTAACCTCCTGAGGCAGGGTGAACTCTGACCCTTTCCCAGAGGCTGGGGTCCAGCACGTGACTGAGGGGTGTGCAGCCGAGCGAGGTGGGCTCCCCCTCAGGGTTCTTCCCGCAAGACCCTGCCTCATTAGTGAACGGTGCATGTGTTCAAACCGAACCAGGTCAGATGTGTCCAAATGGGATGTGGCAGACGCGAGGATGAGTGGCACCATCAATTAGACCCTGGGAGGAGGCCCACGAACTCCCCTTCCCTCCCCCCAACCTTCTATAAGGCCGAGAAGTGATGTCATTCATTTCCTGCAGGCTGGCAGCAGCACCTTGTAAATGTTAATTGCATTAATTAAACTCACAATGCAGAAAGGGAGGCCGGAGGGCATGACTAGGAAGTGAGACTCTGAAATGAAACGGGAGAGGTTGGAAGGGGAGAGGTTGGAAGAGATTAAAACCTATGGGAGGGGGATCCAGCCTTCTGAATCTCCCCTTGAAGGGCTCAGGTCTTTTTGAGCTGTTCCCACTGTCCAATATTCCAGAAGATGGACCACTCATTATGTACCTCACCAAAAAGCATCTCAGAGGAAGCAGGTCAGCAGACCCCCTGTCCAGGCTCACACAGCAACAAAATGATGGAGATTTGGGCCTCATCCAAGGAACAGAACAGGAAAACATCTTTAAAACAATGTGGCAACTATAATTATAAAGTTAAGCCCAGGGAAGAACACCACCCAGGTGTGCGTAGAAAACTGGGAGG